TAAGCTATAAAACTGCAGATTATGTGATAATACAGGCAGTAGGTTATGTTTGTTTTAATACAGCTATATGGATACACAAACAAATGGCTTCATTCAGATTTCAAGGTTTTTTGGTACTTTTTTTTTTGCTTTGTATTTTGATTTTAATTTCCTAGCATATTTGAGAAACATTTCTCTTTCAATGGGCAAAATGGCTGTAGAGGATGTGGCTGTACCAAAACAGGAATGCTACATAAGTTGCTGAGTACAGCTGAAAAACTGAAATGGCAAGACATACAACTGGCAGTAAAATTACATTGGTAAGCAGGATTATCCATATATCTACTAGTAAAATAAAGTAAATGACATCACACTCAGCTGAAATCTGTTTCCATCTTGTGGAAGCTGGCTTTGTTTTTGTCTGCTGCATTAGTGTAGTGTGCTGGTATCCAGAGTGAAACATAAACTGCACTTTTAAAAAATAACACTTGAGCTTTCAGATTTGAAGAGCCTTGGAGTAACTGCACATCCTTGAAGTGTGCTGTATAGTTTCTGTAGAAATACCAAAGGAGGGATGCACTTACAATGCATAGCAGTAGGTGTTGCTACCATCTTTGAGGTTTTTGGGGCGACTGACACGAACAGGAGAACTAGTAGAAAATGCTTGGCTGTTCTATGTGTTTCTGCTTCAGTCAGCTGCAGTGATCTCTCTTTTGCCTCTATACTGATCTGTCATGTATAGTTTGAGGGTAAAAGTGAATTTGCTGATCTTCAGCTACACTGACTGATGACAAGTTGACTTTTCTACTGGTAAATTGCCTTGTAGCTTTAACTAAGATTAGATGACTTTGCCCATGTGAAGGAGGTAGTGATGGCAGAGTTGGCAGCAGCATCATGCCACACTTAAAATGTCAACTCTGGCTGTAAGGGGATAAAAACTTCACAGTACTGGTTCCTATTATTGCTGGCTAAATGTGCTGATGTTTTTCATTTTGGTCCTATCCATCCACTTCTAGTGAGCCAGGGGGCAGTTTTTCTAACACTTCTGTGTTACAGGAGTATTGAACACTAACAAGTGATGATATATTGTGGTGTTAAGTTTCTTGTTCTTTGGTTTTAAAAGTGACTTATGGAAAAGGGAAGAAGTGAGTACTAAAATAGGGATTTTTCTGACTCCTGATTTGACCAGTATTGAGTAACATAAAGATTAGCAAGTTGGGGAAAACTAGCTACCTTTATTGTTTGTCTTGTGCTAGTGTTCTCATTTAAACTGAGGTTGTCTTTAGGTTAGCTTTACGATCTTCTTACTGTAATAAGCTTTCTTCTTAAAGATCAATTGTTTCCAAAGCTGTGTTCTCAAAATTTTGTTATGTCCCAATTCTGGTTTCTACCAGATTTTAGCAATTTATCCTCTGAGTGTATCATCCCCTGTTTAAATTTAAAAATATCATTTTATTTTTTAGATAGAAGTGGTGCTATTTGACAGTAAAGTGAGTGGAAAAGCATAGACCAGAATCTGTTAAGTGAAAGATTCAAACTGTTTCTCTTTCATAGGCTTCATAGCAAGAAACTTACATGTGCAGGCTACTAATAGCTATGTAAATAACTTTGGACTATTTTTTGAGAATTTGGGAGAGGTGCATAGCTGACCAACTGCTGGCATATAGTTATGCAGCCATCTGGCAGCTGGTAGTGGTAATGATGTTCAGGAACCTCTTTTCTGTCTTTTATTTGAACAAATAAATTTCTGTCCTTAAAGTCTGTGTTATGTTTTTTATGTCTGATACTTAATGGCTATAACTTGAGCCAGAAGAACAAAGAAAGGTGAGAGCCATTAGAGCTGATGGATTACTGAACAGGGTATTCCACAGGGACAAAGAATGAGAGGAAGAGCTGTTGTCTACAGAATTTCATCAAAATGAAGGGTATTTGGTCTCATATTGCTTCTGTTTCCAGATCTCTGTTATTTGGCTAAAATTAGGTTTTTAACTTGTGTCATCAGGCTTTTATCTTAGTTGGGAGTAAAACCATTCAGGGTGTTTTGACTCTTGCTTTTCTTGGCCTTAGGAGGAAAGGTCTTTGTATTGTAGTAGAGCTGTATTTAGATAGGATTCTGCAGATTAGTATAGTGAACTGGAATGTGAGTAGTCTGGACTCGTTCAAAAGGCATTTCAACATCTGAAATATGTAGGTAAGCTCTGCTGCAGTGGAGTAGCAGCTTGTCTACACATACTAGAGAGCTTCAGGATGCATCTTCTGTTAACTCCAGTTTAGCATGAATAGTGAAATTCTCAGCATCCAGATCTAGGTTTTAAACTGCCGCTATGGTACACCAATTATGCTTTATCATATCAGCATTGTTTTAGGTGATCTGGAGTGCACCATCCCTTCACACTACAGAGGAGTCCATTCTTGTGGAGACCTGTTTGAAGTGGCCTTTAGCTCCTCTGCTGCTATGGGCCATTAACGACTCTGTTGTACGGGTAAAGGCCCAATGTATGCAAAGATTGCAAACATGCCTCAGAAGATTTGTTCAGATCTGGTCTTGTGTTGTGGAAGTGAATGCATTCTAGAAAAGACCTATATGTGATTAACTAGCTTATATAACTTGCTTGAAGTTAGGCAAGAGTTCTTTTTATTGTCTTAAATTCAATTAAAAACAATTATTTTTCTTAGAGCTTTCTTTTTTCCTTAGAGGTAAGAAAATATAATTAATTGTTTGAGGATTTTTCTTGAGTTCTATAACTTTTAAATTAAATTATGAGGAAAATATGAGCAAATATATACATATTACACATTCAGGAGAGCATGGGGATGTAGATACAAGATTTATACATTTGACTGTGTGTGACTTTGGGCTTCTCAGTGCAAGAAAGATGGTAATTTATTTGAGAAGGTTTAGTGGAGGCCATCAAGATGGTCACAGCACATGACTTGGGAGGAGAGTCTGAATGAACTGGGCTTGTTCAGACAGAAAAGGGAAGGCTTTGGAGGAACATATTAGGAATCTTAATGTAACTTTTGAGACGTTATGAGAGCCAGGCCCATTGTCTTGCTATGCTACTCGGTCAAGAGAGGCAGTGGTCATAAACTTCTAGTTCTGACTGGATACAGCTAAAACTTTGCACTAGGAGGCTCACTAAGCATTGGAATAGATTTCCCGGAGAGGATGTGAAATCTCTCTTTGGAAGTCTCCAAGACCTGACTGGTTGAAGGCTTAAGTAGCCTGGTGCAAATCAGATGTTGACCTTGGTTTGAGCAGGAGATTGGGCTAGATAACTTTATAAGGCCCTTTCAAACATGAAGGGTTCTGCAGTTATGCTTCCATAATTTTATCCTCACCCCTTACTTGTCACATTTATAGCTTAACTTTAGTACCTCTGCCAGTATCCCTCTGCCCCTGCAACAGGCTTCCTTCCATGGCTAATCATGTGTTTGTCTTGCACTAAAGATGGAGAAACCCTCTTTCTGTGGTATCTGTGATGTTGAAGAAAGTATTTAACCTTTGCTGTTAACAATTCCATATTTTTTTTCTTAATTACGTACTATATATTAATTGTTGGAGATATACTTTAGTAGTCTAAATTGGCTTCCTACCAAGAAGAAGACTTCTGTCTGCATATCAGAGTGGTGCTTGGAAGATGGTGTATATCAGACTGACTGAATTCAAGCTTGCATTGGTGTTTTGAATGCCAGGAAAGTTCTGTGGTAGAATTTGCAAATAACATCTTGTAGAAGGTGAAGGCTCTCGAAGTAGTTGCTTTAAAAAAAAAAAAAAAAAGTAAATTGGGATACAAGTTCCTAAAATTCTTTCCTGGGTCCAACAGTAAAGTTAAGCTTCATACGGTCTTCTGTAGAGGCTCTGTAGGTAGAATGACATATTTAAAGTTACGTGACAACTAGAAAACCTCAAATTTTAGTTGATTGTTTAGTTTGGTAAGCTTCCAGCTCTTTGAGTTGAAATCTTGTATGCCAGATCTGTCCCAGGTGGACTCTTACTAGAAAAACCACATAATGTGTCTTCCTTTGTCTGACTGTGGGAAGTTAAATTACTTAAGGTTCTGAACCTTCTTTAGAAGATCTCTGGATATCCCTACAAGTGTAAATTTCTCCCACATAACTATCCTGAGCAAGTTGTAAGTGGTGCTGCAGAGATGTAGCCAAGCTTTTCTGTAATTACTGCTTTAGTCCAGCTGGAACCAAGGGCAGGCAGTTGCTTGACTTTACAAAGGGTAACAAGCTGGTGAAATGAAAGTGTGGAGCTCTTGCATTTGTCACGGAGATGGCAACTACTGCTGTTCAACTTTTTATAAAGAACTGTTCCGCTAGTCTGTGGCCAAGACTCTTACTAGAAAATGCTATGTTGTCACAAAGGTGTGTTAGAGCAGATCTTTTTCTGATCCAGCTCTCAGCATGGATTGCTTGGTGCCCTTTCACTCTGCTCTGCAACTTTTGATGAATTTCAGCAGAAGTTGGCCTTCTGAGTGAAAGTGGAGTAATTCCCACTTGCTTCCATTTCTATGTGTGGCTGTTGCAGAGTTCTATTCTAGCAAAAGGAGATGATATTATGTAACTTCTCTTGTCTTAAAATTGCTTTTGAGGAATCTTCTGGTAATCTGATAAACGTGGATGATTCCAATTACTTGCCGATTGTTAGAGGCTCTTTAAGTGTGATAGTACTGTCAAGGTGGAAACAGTCTTTTGGTATGGACAGACTGCAAGACTGGTTTTACTTGTGGTTGAACCAGAAGAGCTGCTAGTTCTACACTATCTATTAGAGGCAGTCTAATGAAAGTGTTTGTTGTCTTCGGGGCATACAGCCTTTTCTGTTCATGTTGCTCTATTTTTGTGTATTGCTAAACTTCCTCCAAGCAACCTATAACATGGTGATATTTTTTCAAGATAGAGAACAGGATTTTTTTATTAAGTTGACTGCATTGTTCTAATGATGTATTGTCACTGTTTTGTTACATACAGTATAACAGATTCTGAAAGATCTTTTTATTTTCCAATAGGCTGGTGTTTGGGATGCTGTATCCTGCATATTACTCATACAAAGCTGTGAAGACAAAAAATGTGAAGGAATATGTAAGTTGCATTCCTTTCAATTGCTTAATTAAATGACTCTGCTGACATACAACTGTGAAATTTTAATTGTGCAGTTCAATAAATCATATGAAAGGTTGATTCAGCTATCTTAGTATTAGATACAACACCTGTATGAATCTAGTGGTGATCCTGTGGTTTTGTTAAGGTTTCTCAGATTTTCATGGACTTTGCTGAAACATGTCCAGCACACTATTTTGTATATGGATGTTTTTAGGATTTTAAAACATAAACCTTAAAGTGTTGGCTGCATTTCAGCAAAGTGCCTAAAGTAAGGGGTAGAAGACAGGCTTCCTGATTTTGACAAAACCTGTAGTAAAAGCAGTGTCAAATGGATTCCCAGTGTCTGCTTGAACAGTAGCAGCAGTTCAGTTGTCATTGTATGGAGCTCAACAGGGGATTCAAAATCTACCTGAGAAAAGGATAGCTCTGGTTCATCTATCATTCCTCAAAGAGGAGAAAAAAATGTAACCAGGGGAGGAAGATATTTGGTTAAGGTGATGTGGAGGAAAGAAACAGGACAGAAGATGGAGAACAACACAATTATTGTAGTAAATGCAGTTTAGAATTCATCTGTTAAATTATTTAATTTCAGTGTGAGCAATGATGATTACCCCAAGAATGTTACCCAGTTGCAGTCTCAAGGAGCTTTGGTCACCAAGTCACTTCCCTATTTTAAGAGGCAGCCTAACTTGATTTTGACAACTAGCCTATATTTGCTCCTGAACCTTGTTCTTAACTTGGGTGCCTGACTCAGTCAGGATGGAGTCAGTGCCATCAGTTACTTTAACTCAGAAGCTGTAGCTGTGATCTAGTGCTGCTGTCTGGATGTGTCATGTCTCGACTTTGTATTTGGTTGTAGTAGTAGAATGCAGTAGCTGTTGTTCTTCCCCTTGTATGTCTTTCACTTAGTCTGATCACTCCGTTGAGGCTCTGAAATGGACATCATATTCGTACTTCTGGTATAGAGCTAAGCTCCTGGGAGAAAAAATAATGAAAAGTGAGAGAGGAATTTTTTCGGTCTCATGCTTACTTTACCCTGTTAGGAAAGTATATAATGCAAAGAATTTATAATCTGCTTTTCCTCCCTGCTCCCTCAAAAGGGATCCAGAGGCCAAGTAGAGGATAGCAGTAGCAAATGCTAATACAAGAAATCACTTTAATTTAAGAGGTTACCATTGCCTCTTGCAATATGTTTTCTACAAAAAGAAAAGTAATGTTTGTAGGATGCTGAGATTTTGGCTTTTATCTCAGTCGTCTAGTTAGCTGTGACTTAGCTGTGACTTTTCTAGAGATGCCTGTAATTTACACAAGACCTTCAGTAGGTCCTGGAACTATATTTTTCCAACTGTATATTTTCATTTAGTGTGAAAACACTGCTTTTCAGTGACCTGTAGTCTTTAAGCAGTACATGAACTTGGAGTTGCATACAAAATGTTCACATGGCTGAAATGAATGAGACCCATCACAGTGACTTTTCCATTTACATCGATTCATCAGTGAGTTATCCCTCCATTGCTGGTTGGGTTGAGTGCCCAGACAGATTTTAGGGACAGTACGTGGCTTTCATCTTCCCAGCTGGGTCATTTTCTCATGGAGAGGTTGTAGGTTTAGCTGCAGCCTTACAAATGGCACAGCTCTGTTGCCAGTCATGTTATGGCCTGAGTACAACTTCCTTTCCCGGGCTATGTGTGGCTCAGGAGCCATCTGTTTTTGTTTGCTAGATTGCAAGAGCTTTGTAACAGTGAAATTTTTTACTTAGACACTGCTTCCACTAGTAGAAGAACAAACAAAGAGTATAGACATCTTGACTTGCTGTGTAGGTCATGATGAGGCAAATTGTTTAAAGATTATTTCTGGGAAAAACAAAAAATGTTGCTGCTGGTTTTTGGTAATTGAAGACTTAGGGACTTTAGTTCTAGAAATTAGGATCTGTGCCTTTGAGCAGATTTATTTGTTCATGTAATTACTCTGGCTTAATGGAGTTGACTGAGATCTTTGAGAAGTTTTTTTTACTGTGTTACACCAAAGTGCTTGTAATAAGCATCTGAAATGTAGTTTATAAGTCTGAAGGACCGGTCTTCTCAAATCCTTGCTTCAAAATCCTGACTTTAAAGGATGTGCTTCAGCCAAAGCCAACAAAGATGAGCTTAACACTTGGATGGTAGGAAGAATGCTCAACAGAACAAAGCTGTAATCACTCTTTTAACATAAAAGCAAAATTCAGTCAAAGCTTCTGTAACTTCACCTTTAAGAGTTAAGTAGATTATAGTCTTCTGTGCAGTGTCAAATATGACCTTCTGTTTTTCCTGGGGTTTTTTGGGGTACAAAACCCACTGTAAGTCCCTCAGGTTAATTTGTCAAGGATATCTTTGGTACCTAATGCACTACTTTGTACTGGAATATGATTTGACTTGTGTTTTTGGGAGTCTTTGCCCAGACCTCAGCAGGACTCTTGGTAGATCTCATGCGCCCTTCTGCAGAGCATTTCTTACAGTTTGGAGCAGCCTACAAGAGACTCCATGAATGTTCCTAATTGAGTAAATAGATGTGGATTAAGTAATTAATAGCCTGGATAAAATACATTGGAAAACAATTCAGTCTTACATGGCGTCTTAAAAATTGCATTGCATCATGCTTAGGTTGATGGGGCAAAGATGGATGTTAATTTATTTTTTTTTTATTCAGGTGTTGACTCTGGTTCATGGAAGGGTCACCAGTCTAAATGTCACATGGCCTGTCAGAGATGACTTCAACTGTTCTGTTTATCTTAGTTTATTCAAGCCTGAACTATCTAAATCCTCTGAGAGGCTGAAGTGGAGAATGTCATCACATGACTGAGTTTCTTTTCAAATTCAAATTCAGAACAGCATTTAAGATAAATGGGTCTCCAGTTGTGACAGAGGAAGTGGGTTTAAAGCATAATGCACAGCTATGAAATAGGCAGCATGTAGCGTTAGGTTTTGAGTACTTATTTAAATCCACCTCAAAAAAGATTGCTTTAAAGGTGAAGATTAAATCTAAGCCACATCCGCTGTAGGAAAGTGTATGTATTCCTCCTTTTGAAAGACCGCACTGTGAATTTAGACTCTAACTAGTGTCTAACAAATGTAGTGTTTAATGCTTTGTGGGTATACCAGAAGAGTTAGTAGTCTGTATATCACGAATGCAATGAGGTTACCGCACCTGGTTGTGGGTGATGCTTTTCTTATCTTTCTTCTTTTAAACTGTTTTGGTTTTTTTCTGGCATAGATAGAGTTGGAATTTAAAGAACGTGTGGGCGTTCTGTTAGTGTGAATAACCAGTGGTGGTTTGCACTGACCTATTTTGGAAATACATTGTGTTTGGCCACTGATATATTAGAGAAGACAAATGCATTGAACTACTTCTATAATATTGATTCTGAAAGATTGAATCAGTTTAGACAACCAAATTTGAACAATTGTTGAAGAAAAACGAACAATGTAGTTAACCATTAGAAAACAGAACTGAACCCTGTATTTTAAGAGCATTGGCTGATATTAAAACAATGATATATAGTGTAAATCTTAAAAACAAAATAAAGTATATAGGTGTAAACCCCTGAAGGATTAAGATGCTTACGTGTGAGCTCTTTTATTAACAAGAATTATGTGGTTCTTTGCATATGAGTAGAATTAAATTTCTACGAAAATGCTTTTTCCTGCCTTGCCCTAGTGTTAATACCATAATGTTAAGCACACGTGTAGAACTTAGCTGTAAAGTATAGCTGAGTATGTATATTGTGAAATGAAAGCAAGGGCTACCTGACTTACTGATGCTAACTTTTTGTGTGTGGTAGAAACATATGGATGAGCGTGGAAGAGAGTGAGATATCCTTTAGTGCTATGGTGGGAATTGCGCTTCGTACTTATAATAATCTATTTACTCTTTCTGGTGTTTTTTTCTCATCACTAAACCTTTCTAGAGGCAGAATAAAATTGGTGAAGCCAGCCTAGGTGAGGTTGTGACCCTGGTGAACCAGCCATTTCACTTAGCTTGTTGCAGCTACCACCAGATCTACTTACAAACAGAAAACCCTTAGGACCTTCACATAATCTCACTTGAAACCTGGTTGATGCAGACTGAGATACTGTTGAATGTCTTGGTTTGACAGCTCAGAACTGACTGTATGGTATGTAGTGTATTCTGTGAAAGATGCAATCAAAATTTTTACTGAAGATGGTGTTTTAATTTTCAGGTTCGCTGGATGATGTATTGGATTGTGTTTGCTCTTTATACAGTTACTGAAACAGTAACTGACCTAACAGTCTCTTGGTAAGAGCCTAGTTTTTATGAAGTCTTCGTGAAACTATATTTGTTTCTGATGTTCTTTGATTTGTAGTGACTCATTTTTTATTAAGAAGCTGTGCTTGTTGATAGCCTTTTTTTCAGCAAAAGATCTCAGTGTAAAGAATAACATCTGTTCTCAAGCTTGCTGTACACTGTCACTTGAACTAGGGACTGTAAAACGTCTACCTTTGCTTTAGAAATGGAATAGGGGAATGGAACTCTTAAAAGGATGGACTATAATTACCCTGTGAAGGACTGTATAATGCAAAGCAAGTATATGAACTGTTTAAATTTCTGAAATGACAGTATGATCAATTAAAAAATTAAATCCACAGGATGACTCATTTACTTTTTGTCAAATATAATTTTTTGCATGTGACAAATCCTATATGCTAATATGTAATTATGTTTTTTAAGAGATCTCTTAATGATGATTAATTACTGTGCATTTTCTTACTGCAGTTGTTGATTTCATGCAACTTTTAACTTGTCTGTAGGTTTCCACTGTACTATGAACTGAAGATAGCTTTTGTTATTTGGCTCCTTTCTCCATATACTAGAGGGGCGAGTTTAATCTACAGAAAATTTCTTCACCCGCTTCTTTCTTCTAAAGAAAGGGTAAGAAGTAACTTCTAATGTTTTTAATGACTAATATGGAAATACCATGTGTGAAATACTAACTGTTGCTAGATACATGATGAAAGCAGATCAGTGTGTTACTGGTTTGCCAGGCAGCATGAAGTTGGACTAGAAGAGGCAACTGCATATGACTGTCCATATATATGGTTCTGTTTAACTTGCATGAGCAGACAATGTGCTGCTTTCTATTGACATGAGGTTGCCTGGTGTTCTCCAGTCTACTTGATGCACTTTCGGGAGCCTAGTTGAGTGGAAGTGATGCAGTTTGACTTTGGTCTGGAAGAACATGTGCAGTACTCTCTGTGCAGAAGCATGAATGCAGTTTTAGCAGCAGCTCTTCATGTCACTGTTTTTTTTAGTATAATCTAGTAATAAAACTTCTCAGGATGAATGACATCGATGACTTCTCTGGTGTGCAAATTGAAAGGGTAAGAGGAGAGACTTTCTGCTGAGGTTTAAGGGAAGAAGCAGTCTGCAACAGAAAATACCCAAACAGAAAATAGCTAAAGTATATTTAGGTGAAGTATGCCAGGGCCACAGATCTACTTAGCTCTTTTTCAGAAGTCTGTTTGGATGTGTGGAAAGAGCGATTAGCAAAGGTGTGAAGACTACCACTGAAAAACCTCACAGTACAGAAAATTGCATTCATAAAGGTCAGTGCTGGGCTTGGCCTTTATTAGGCACAACAGGAAGCTGACCTGATTGTCACTGATATGAATGGTAAGGTCACGTTGACCTTCTGAAGGTTTAACTATAAACCACTTGCAACTTCATAAGCTAAAGGGTTTTTTTTCACCCTTCGTCTGCTATCTGTTGTGAACTACCTTGAAACCTTTATCTCTAACTCCAGGCATTTACCACAGCTGGACATAAATGTCATGACTTATTGTCCTTGATACTTAACTATGTCAAAGTTCTGGCTTCGGAAGTTCTTTGTGAGCTGGCTCTACCTTTCTAAGGAGCTCTATGATTTCATCTTGAGCTTGTTATTTCTTGAATAGCTTTTGTCTGACAATTTAAGCTTACTTTCTGTAAAGAACTTGCTGTGTAGCTGTGATGTTTCTGAGCTGGACAAAAGTGATCTACTTTATCTTCTTATTTGACCAGAGATAACCCCTTTTTAAATGAGAGAGTATGAGTGAATGAAACATCAGTATACAAAGGCAAGAATAATTCTCCTACTAAATATTTTCTTAAAGATTTCTTCAGTCTTCCTTTATTGATGGAAAAATAATACTGTGGGGTAAGGTGACTTACACACAGCCCTCTAAAATTTCAGTATGTTTTGCTTTTAGGAGATTGACGAGTACATCGTACAAGCCAAAGAAAGAGGCTATGAGACCATGGTGAATTTTGGAAGGCAAGGGTTGAATTTGGCAGCAACTGCTGCAGTGACAGCAGCTGTAAAGGTAACTTTCTGCTTGCATTAATTGCTTTTGTCCTTGATATAGAACAGTATACTGAGGATTTGCCATTCCTAAACAAAAAGATTAATTATGCAAATATATTGAAAACTTGGAACACAATTCAAGGGTTGCAGCCCTCTAGTTCTCCTCATACTGTGTTTCTTTAAGATGACTTAGTAGTTATTTCTTGAATGATGGAGATCAGTTTACTGTAATTCAAAAGATACCATGCAGTTTTCTATTCAGGCTTTTGGTAAAGATGACCATTGTTTCTTTTCTGTCTCTGTGCTTTCTTGTTGGTAAACAAACTATTTAAAGGATTTCTGGCTTTTCTGCTGTTTTTCTCCAATCAACTTGAGGTAACTCCACATATGAAGTAAGGCATGAAAGATTACTACCACAGATAAAAGTTACCTTGACACAATTAACTTGTTTGCAACTTGTTGATTGAATTATTAAATTAATACACTAAGCATAAGCTTGCATACTGCTGTTTAGCATATTCTTGCTTTGTCATGTAATTTCCATTAAATCATGAAGTAACCCATGGGTGTTCCTGAATTATGTTCTTCCAAAACTCATGACCTTCAGCTCAGTTTCAGAAGGCTCTACGTCTTAGGAAGACAAACTACAAGCTTATAAGTAAGATTTTAAGCATCTTGTGGTCCACCAAAAGGAGTGTAACTTTAGGCAATGTATCTTACCTTACCTAATAGTAATTTAAACCAAAAAGAAAAAAGTGTGGAAAAAAAACATGTGTATGTCCTTGTTAAATGATAGTTTTAAGGCTATCAGGATAAATTTCTTCCTGGCAATAAATGAAACTGCTGTGGTCAAACCTGAGCACTGTTAGTAGATAACAGCACTGTAGAGATGTCTGGCTGTCAGAGTTAAGTAGGTACAGCTAGCATTTAACTTAATTTTCTGTGCTTGTATGTGAACTTCTTGCTTTATAAATCAAAGACATTGCAAAAAGCTACATTTTCAAATGCTATCTCAGAAAGGTTTGGAAAAATAGTCACACATATCTTGTTTGTTCATTTTTTCTCTTTGAAAAGATATGTGGGTGGTAGTGTAAAAAAAAATCACTTTTTTTTTTTTAAAATATGGACACAGTGAGCCTAAAATACTGAGAATGTAATTCAGTTTGAATCAACTGTTTCTTTCTTGCTATTCAAATTCTTAGGGTTGCCTTGAGGCATGAAATAATTTAGATTAAATAGTATATATCTCTAAAGAAATGAAAGTATCCAGAATGAAAATAGGTCATTTAAAAAACCAAAACAAACCCAACAAACAAAACCTCAAAGTACTCCACTGGGAAAAAGTTGAAGAACTATGCTAAATGCTAAAATGCAAATTCTTTGCCAAACAGCAAATCAGAATTTATTACAGTGTGCACCTGTAATGATACTTATGCTCTGTATATTTTCCTTATGTCTGGCTAAGGTCGGATATTTCTTTGTTAATCCTTATGGTGTTACAGAAGTATTGTAAAATCAGTATCAAAAATATCTCCTCCCACTTTCTTCAGAAATAATGAATAACTTTTTCCTAAATGTCTGTGTTTAGTTTTCATTGCTGTTCAGCTGTGAATGGCAAGATGCCTGCTCTATTTGTTAAAACTTGTTAAACATGCTTATGATATTTGTACAGAATTAGTTCAGTGCAGATGAGATGCTTGGGCAAAACAACCACCACAATACCGAAGGCCTAAAATAGGCATGATTTTTAAAGAGTATGAAAGAGGAGACTCTGAAAATCTTCATTTTGGCATGTTAAACCTCTCTTCAGTTTGCCATTCCAAAAACCTGAGCGTGACTGCTCGAAGCAAGCAAATGGAGACAATGCATATGTTCTTGATTTTGTTTCCTGTTTTTCAAGAGTTGACTGCTGCCTCCAGCAGGTGAAAAGATTATATGTTCAGCATGAGCTGGTGGAACATGCTATAGGATTTCAGGAGTGGAATCCTGTCAGTGGGATCAGTTTTGATTGGAAGGAGAGACACTTTCATCACTTTGGTGTGGTGGGTTTTTTTTGAAGGGGCAGGCATGCTTATTCTGACATATCAGATTTCAAATTAGGAGTAGAGAATGTGGGAGGTTAAACACAAGGGGAGGTCCAAAGAAAGCTTCTGTTCGCTAAGGTATCCAAGCAAAAGAGTCTACAAGGTCTGCTTATGTTGAGTTTTAGGAGGGTGGTAAAATTGCTTGGAAACTCGCTGGAGTATTTTCAAGATCAAGTGTGGGAAAGAGCATTGTTTTTCCAAGAGCTGTCAAAGGAATAGGGGATTAGTATTAAAAGACTAGTTGGCTGTGTAGGGGAGGCTGGAGCAGCCAGACAGGTCACTCTTCTGAAATCTGACATTGACTTAAACCTGCTCCACTGTACTTCAGTTGAAATGTAATTGGCAAGAGTCATGGCTTGTAGCTTACATTCCTATAGTGATGGTTTTAGCTTCTACTGGTTAGCCACTATTCATATAGAATTTAGTGTTTCAAAATCTGCTAAATAGCATACAGTAGCAAAATAAATTGTGTTACTGTCATGCTAATTTAAGAAAACAAATCTTTGTAAAATCCTGATTTCAGGAGACTTAAGAGATTAAATATGGTCTAGGCTGACTTTTACAGTTTACTAATAAAAGTTTTCTTTAGGGTATAAAAGAATCAGCAACAAGATGCTTTTAATGATAAGAAAGTTGTTGGAGCGCTTTCAGCTCAATAGTGTATGGATTTGTGGAAATTGTATTCATAGCACTAAGTTTCACTGATACATCTTGTATCTTGATACATCTGCTTTCCAGATCCTCTGAGATGCCAGTTACCTGTACTTCCCAATTTTTGCCAACACATAAATTCTGATCTCTCAAGCTACTAGTGAAAACTGGTTTCTATATCACCATGTGTGGGACAGCTGCTAATTAAGCTCTGAAATGCACTGTCCTTCTTTATGAGGTCACACAAATATTGTTCATTTGTAAAGTATTATTTGGAGGTAGTAAAAATAATAGATTTAGAGGGCTGCGTTTCTGCATGTCTTTTAGTCATCTTGAATCTGTTGCCTCTTTGCTGGTTGAGTATTACCTAATGGCCTTGTTCAGACTTCCCCTTCTTCCCACTCAGGGCATGGCAGAGGAAGGAGGTATCTTGCAGCCAGCTGTGGCATACAGCCAGTATGACTGTGAGCAGCTCAGCTCACCAGCAATATTGCTTTCATCCCTCCTCCCTGCTGGGACCGCCTGGCATGCTGCAGAGGTCATTTACGGGACAGCAGTCTCTCTCCAGGTTGAGAGGGAACAGAAGTCATTCCCTGTCAACCCTGATCGGATCAGGGAGAGAACAGCTGGGAATGTGGGTGCCGCGCACTGCAGCTTTGCAGCCAAGGCCATTGAGAACTTGTGCAGTGAAGGCAGGCTGCTTTATTCCATGATCCTGACCACTGAGGGGTGCAAGTCCAATTTAGACAACAACAACAAGAAAAGTCCTTGAGGCAGACATACTGTGTGGTGTCTGTTTACAGCAACTTCCCTGGGTTAGGTATATGGACTATAAAAATACATGCTCAATAGCAAAATAGAGAATGGCATTTCATATATGGGGGTCAGCTGATGAGATAGCATACTAATAGCTTGCTAGAGTCTGAGTAGTCTGAAAAGGAGTCCAGTAAGTAGGCTATATTTATCAAAGGCTGGATTCAGAAACCTGTTACAAGTTAGTATTTCAGATTGGTCATTGGTAATGAATGTGGTCTCTGAAAAGTGTTTAATATGTTTTAGGAAATACTATTGAATAAATAAGCAAACTCATTGTTTAAGACTTGCATTTTGTTTAAGATAACACAAACTTCACAGTTCATCTCTCTTCAATGTTGACTTACATAGAAATTTGGGCACTGAAATAGTTCTGTGCTTTTTTTGCTTGCATTGTAATTGTAAATGTGTATGTCTCAATCTTTTGTGGTGTAATTTAGTTGTCAGCCTCTGGGCTGGATGCAGACTGCTGTATATTCTTCCTTACTGGTAGGAACTGTTGAAATAATGGGGCACCAGTGCAGGCATGGCAACTGCTCTGCCATCTTCTTCTGAGCAGCATCTTGGGTCTGTGTATATGTCTGGGGAGAGGTGATGGTGGCTGTACCTATGGCATGAGTGTGGAAGCAGGAGATCCCCCTTCAGCTTCACCTGCAATTGGATTGCTCTGCCTTCTGTTTTGCAGGCAAACATCTTGCTTTAAAGCTGTGGCTAGTAACTCTCTAAACTTTCAAACAAGATAGTAAATGTCTTAATATTTGCTGTGTGTAACTTGAGTAAAACTTTCCATCTTAGCAAGTACTTACGGAATGAAGGGCCCATTATATGAATCTGTTATGTCCTTGCTGAATGAGGCAGTGCTTCACAGGAGCTTAAGCCTCATTGAGCGTGCAGTTTGGTTAAGGGCACAATGTTGTTTTATGGCACGTATTTTGACTTTTTTCCCCTTCAAAAACCAAAATTCTGTAAACAAAAGCTTCACTGAAAAATAAGGCTGAATGTTCCCAGCTTGGATCTAGTGCTCTGTATCTACGGTGTAAAGGGAAATACAGGCTTGTAATGTGAATTCTTCTTAGCGTGTTAGTTGTTATAATCACAGAATCACAGAATGTTAGA